TAATCTCCCTAATGAACACAGAGATGCAAAAATCCTCAGGATACTGGCAAACAGAATGCAGCTTGTAATCTAAGAAGTTTTCACGTCATGACCAAATTGAATTCACCCCAAGGGATCCAACAACAGTTGAACATATATAAATCAATCAATGTAATACACTTTATTAACAGAACCAAAGACAAAAGTCCTATAATTATCTCAATAGATGCAGAAACAGCTTTTAACAAACTTCAGCACTCATTCATGATAATAATCTCACAGAAAATTGGAATAGATGGTCTTTATCTGTTAAAAGCCATCTGTTACAAGCCAACAGCCAACTTTACACTAAATGGACAAAAACAGAAAGGTTTCATTTTAAAATCAGGACCAAGACAAAGATGTCTACTGTCTCCACTCTTATTCAACATAGTCGTGGAAGTTGAGCCAGATCAACTAGAGAAGAGAAAGAAATGAGAGGAATAATAATAGGAAAGGAAGAAGCTAAATCATCATTGTTTGAAGATGGCATGTTACTCTACATAGAAGACCCCCAAAACCCCACCAAAAGACTGCTCGATTTTAATAAGTAAATTGAGTAGTGCAGCTGGATATAAGATCAACACTCAAAAATGGGTAGCATTCCTATACCAAATAATAAATTCACTGAGAAAGAAATTAGGAAACAATATTTTTCATAATAGCACTCCAAAAAATGAAATACCTAGGAATCAATCTAAAAAGAAGTAAAAGACCACTATATTGAAATCTGCAGTAATCTGAAAGGAGATTGAAGACGCTATCAGGAAATGGAAAGATATCACTTGATCTTGGGTGGCAAGAACCTATATGGGAAAGTGGCCACACTTCCAAAACCGTTTTACAGAGTCAATGTAATTCCAAGCAAAATTCCAACAACATATCTCATAGAATTGGAGAAAACCTAAAATTCATTTGGAAACAGAAGCAACCTAGAATAGCAAAGGCAATTCTGAGCAACAAAAGCAAGGGAGGGGTATGACAATCCCCAATTTGAAATTATACTGTAAGGCCACTGTGATAAAACAGCACACATACACACACACACACACACACACACACACACACACACACACAAGGATCCGTGGAACAGTTTAAAAAATGCAGAAACAACTCCAGACATACTCAGCCACCTTGTCTTTGACAAAAGTCCCAAACACATTCACTGAAAGATGGCCTCTTCAATAAACATGCAGGGAAAACTGATTTTACAGATGCTGAAGATTAAAATTGGAACCATATCTTTCACCATACACTCAAATAAATTCAAAATAGATGAAAGGTCTAAATATTCAAACAGAAACAACAAATTTTCTGGGAGAAAGGAAAGGTAAAACTCTTGAAGATATTGGTGTAGGCAAAGACTTTATGAATAAAATCTTAATTGCAGAAAGCTATCACAAAGAAACAACAACTGGATCTCATCTTATTGGGCTTTTCCACAGCAAGAGAAACCAACAGTCGAACTAAGACACAACCCAGAGTTTAAAAATATGTTTTCCAGCTGTTCCTCAATGGATTACTATCAAGAGCATATGAAGAACTCAAAAAAGTTAGACCTCCCAACCTTAAAGCCTCAATCCAAAAGTGGGCATCTGAGATGAATACATACTTCTCAGATGAAGATACACACAGACAATAAATATATGACAAAATGTTGAACATCACTGGTCATTTGAGAGATGCAAATTAAAACAACACTGAGATTTCACCTCATCCCAGAAAAAAATGCCTATTATCAATAAACTAGATAATAACAAATGCTGGTGAGGCTGTGGTGGAAAAAAAAAACTCTTCTCTATCATTGGTGGAATTATAGACTGGTACAACCACTGTAGAAAAAACTAGGACTCAAGACTCCATTTGACCCAACCATTCCCCTCCTGGGTATCTTCCCAAAGGAATTAAAACCATTTTACCACAGCAATATGTGAATAATTACATTTATAGCTGTAACATTTGTAATGGCCCAATCTTAGAAACAACCCAAGAACCTATCGACTGAGGAATTGTTAAAAAAGATACGGCATTTTTATACAATGGAGAACTCATCAGCCATAAAAAGGATTAACTGGAAACTTTCATAGGTAAATGGATGCAACTTGAGTCCATGCTCTTAAGTGAATAATGTGTAAATACTGAATTAATTCTCTGATGTGAGAAACTAAAAGTGTAAATAAGGACCCAAAAGTACAGTAGGTATTGTAAAATAGGAGGAAATATTCAAATGTGAAAGCAAACAAGGGTGAGGGGAAGGGGAAAGGAAAAAGAAGAGAAAAGCAAAAAAAATTTAGAGATGAAAACAAAGTTTTGTAAATGAGAGAAACAGAGGTTGAAAGGAGGGTAGGGGAATGGGGAGAAACAAGCAATATCATGTACAGTTACAAATTCTATATGATGAAGGTAATTATTATGTATATCTAAAATGTACCAATAAAATCTAATTTTAAAGCATATCAAATGATTGTTAACAAATCATTTTCTGTGGTAGAAAAAGAAAAATATTTGTCAAAACACTTGAGAAAAACATGATTGTGAATCTACTTTAAAGATTGTCATTATGTATAAATTCTCTTCATGATTCTTGTGAGCACCCTGATTTTTACTGGCCGTTTAATGCTGAACACTACTGTGTCTATATTAGCTGCATTTGCCCCCAGAGTCCTAGTTCTTTTTTCCACAATTCAAATTATATCATTAACTATTACCTTAACATTTGGAGGCTACAGATATTAACTTAAAAACAAAAACCATTTCATCCTTCCAGATCATAAATCTCATATTCCTCTTCCCCAACAATACTCATTCTCCCATCTCATCTTGATCAATTAATTGCATTTACTTTATTTTCAAATCAGCAGCTAGAATTTCAAAGGATGAAGTGGGCACTGCTATACTCTGTTGGTCGGCTTATAAAACCAGCTACCTGGCTTTGAATCTGGCTTCTACTTTTTATAAACCTGGGCAAATGACTAAATGTCTCTTAGTTTTATCATATGTAAAAAGGAGATAACAATGATGTCTACTCAAAGGTTATTATAAGAATGAAATGCAAAATGAATATGAATCACAACTTCAGTGTATAGTAAGCTCCCTACATATACATGCAGTGGTGAGGATAATGGTGGACAATGCCAACACTATCCAAAGGAAAAACATGTGTACATGTGTTTAGTCACCACTATCAATTCTAGCAGTGAGCCCTAGGGAAAGAGTAAGTTGAATGTTTAAAGGTATTGAAGTGTGCTAGTCATAACAGTAAAGAATCAGAAACAACCAGAAGGAGAGGTTTAATGAAATAAATTAAGGTACCTCCATAAAATGGAAAACTATACTGAGAAAATAGTAGGAGTCATAAATATCATCTTTTAATGTAAATTTCAGTGAGCTGAGGCATCTCTCTAGCACATCTTCAATTCTTTCCAGAGCTTCCTTGCTTTCTACTTGTATTGGGTAGCTATTGCTGTATAAAAACCTTATAATCTCAGTGACATATGTTATGGTTTGTGTTTAGATGTCCCCCAAAGCCTCATGCAGTCATGGAGGCAAGATTTTGGAGGCAGCTGAATCTAGTTTATGATTAATTCATTGTCTAGTGCTGGGATTATGGATGTGAGTACTGCATCCACTCTATGATGCGTAGTTTACATACGATATAAGACACAGAAAGAGTCTTCTCTAGCACTCCTCTATTTTAGCTCTTGTTGTTTTTTGCTGTCTTCCATCTCGCAGAACTGTTGCTTCTCTGCCACATCACCCCGCCTTAGATGCAGCAGATTATGGACTAAAACCTCCATGAATTGTGAGCTAAATAAACCCTTCATTTCTTAATTTTAGGCATTGGGTATTTTGTATCAATGATGAGAGAAAAGTAACCAAGACAGCATACAAATATTTTTCACCAGTTTCCAGGGCAGCTGATTCAGCTGTGCTTCAGGCTATGATGGTTGACAGTTTGAATGTTATCATTATAATCTTAGAATTGCAAAAGGGTAAGAGATAATAAGAGGAGACTACTACAACTAGTTCCAAATTCAAAATTAGCAGAGTGGTGTTTCCATTCACGTTTTATTAGCCAATAAACATCACATGGATGAGCTCCTGAAAGAGTTAGTTACCCTTTGCTTCTAAAGATATCATGTGGTCAGTGTACATTCAAAGCAATTAGAGCTAGTAAGTAGCTCTACAATTTTACTTATCAGTGTTTCCTCTCTGACAGGGAACTTGCTACCTAAGGTTCTTAGGGTTCCTGAGTTCATCCCAGTTTCTGTTTAGCTCTCTTAACAGAATACCTAAAAGCTTCTTTATATCTTTAAAACTATGCCTCAGGAACACACTGGCATTGGTGATAGGAGACTTTCCTCCTGTAGTCTGACACCCACATCCGCTCATAGGTGATATGAGTAATTTTTCTTCACTACAGTAGCATATACATTAAACATTTAATTTCCTTGGATTTGGCCTAAGCAAGTTCTACAAGTTAATAATGTCTTTCAGGAAGATGGCTTTTTATCTTTTATGTATGTACGTACTTATACTTTATGTATACCTGTACTCCTCAGAGGAACAGAGGCTGGTTTTTGCGGGGAAGCTCTTGAGTTCAGTAACTCTTCAGAAGCTTCAGAGAGGCTGAGGTAGAGTTTTCAGGGTTTAGATTATCAAGCATTGACCAGATTTTGAACCAATTGTAAAAGTGGAATTTTTGTCATACTCAGGACCTAAGAAACAGACCAAATAAAGGGAAAATATAATCAGAACAGAATGTCATAAAAATTTAGTCCTTCTCTCTGGACTTTCAAAAGTCATAACACAAAAACCAGAGCTTCACACAGAGAGTGGTGCACCAAGGGAATATGAGAACAGAAAAAAACATGCTTTGAAAATTAGGCGCATATTTTCCAGTAAAGATACATGATGAATGTGGTCAAAAGAAGCAACTTCCTTCCTCTTTTCTAATCATTGCCCTGGGGCCTCATCACAACCTCTTTCACACTACAGGTTTTACTGCTCTCACCAGCTTGGAGGGAAGATGTGGCTTTTGACAGCTCTTCTCCTTTGGGGTAAGTTGAACTTAGGGAAGTGGTTAGAAGAAGACAAGCTTCACCAATGAGGAATTAAGATTTTTGTTTATTTGTTTTCCTTTGATATAATAGAAGTCATGAGCATGGACGCAACTGTATCTGGGCTTTGATGGTTCATTTTTTGGGTGCTTACTACATTAAAAGAATGTAAAGGGGAATCCAGAGTTAGCATCACATCTGAAAATCTCATATTAAAATAAAGCCTAATTGTGGGTAGGGTGCAGCTATGGTGGTAGAGCACTTGTTTGGAATGTGCCAGTCCCTGAGCTTTTCCCTGGGAAAAAAGGTAAATCAATGCCCATCAGTTCAGCTGATACTTGCTTTTGAGAAAGAAGGATAGAGAATCTCAAGAGACCTAAGGTACCCTTCTGTGTTTACATCAATTTCTATTCCCAACTTGCCTTTTGTCATTATTTCCTGCTGACAAACTGATGTTTCTATTCTCTGGTCTCTTGCAGTTCCAGTTGGTGGGCAAGTAGGTGAGTGACCTCCAGCCCAACTTCACTTGTACTGCCTTTCTACTCCCAAAGAATGAGCACCATTTACCTCAAGAAGAGGGTTTGGGGACAGGATAGATATGAGAAAGACTTGGAAATTATGTAAAATCCTCAGAGTGTGATTTTTACAAAATCCTTATTTTTAAGTTTTCTTGTTATCTAAGGTTTTCTGAATAAGTCCTGACTGCTCAACTCAACTCTGTATATACAACAACAGAGATTAGCCACACCTGCAGAAATGCAGAAGTAGCTCTGCTGGGTTTTCCAACACCCCCTAGACTAGTGCCCTCTGCAAGAGAGCCAAGCTGGTTTTTTCTTTGCAGAGAGAGCCAGGACCACATAGTGATATCTTCAAAGCGAGGCATTTCTAATGCAAAAGCCTCTGAGGGTCTATGTTTTACCCTTAGAGATAACACAGCATCAAGGACAAGGAAACTGGCCCACTCAGTTGTCCTGTCTTAAATGCTGCTTACACCTTTCCAACAGTGAGAATCATGTCAGTAATCCAATGTTCCTCCTCAAGAACCCAATAGTCCCAACACCCAGATTAAGATTTGATAACATAAACAGAGCTTTCTGAAGTAGGGCTTAGATGCTTTTAAAGATGTAAATTCTAATTTGTCTATCTTTTCAAATTAATATAAAAATGCATTTTTCTTTGTGTTTTCCATGAAACTTTACTAATCACTCAGAGCCTTCCTTTCACTCCACGTGTTGATTATTTGTTTCTTGTTTTTATTTCTGTTTTATACACAAGCAGACTTCATAAAGGCAGTGATCATCTTGCAGCCTCCGTATTTCAATATGTTCCGAGAAGAAAATGTAGCCTTGAGATGTGAGGGACCCCAGTTCCCTGGGCACAGCTCGGTACAGTGGCTCCTCAATGGAGCAACCATTCAGATCTCAACTCCCAGACACAGCATCACTGCAGCAAGTTTCAGTGACAGTGGTGAATACACGTGCCAGACAGGGCTCTCAGCACCAAGTGATCCTGTGCAACTGGAAATCCACGCAGGTGAATATGGCATGACTAGAAATCAAAATATTCCTTTGTGTGGATGCCAGATGTGTGTTTTTGTGTACCTGTGTGTATGTGTGTGTACAATGCTCAGCTCTAATAGACAGAGATACAGTGCTCTACAAGGTGAAAGTAAGTCAATATACTCCAGACATTACCCAAAGGTTCCCCCATTGTGAGCCCCCATTGAAGAGAGTAACTGGAGAAAAACTCAGACATGAGAATTTTATCATTATTTAAATGTATGCCTGGGTACAGTAAATAATAATTCAGACAAATGTATAAGGATGAACAATGAAGTCTCTAGCATTCCATGACCCTAGTCCTGAAGCTGCCTTCCACAGAAGCGAAACTGTTAGTATCTATTAGCTGTAAAAAACACTATGGTTGATAGAATATGGTACATCTGACACCTTTTGTCATATGAAAAGAAAGTCTCTATACTAATAGACATTTACTTTTATGGGTTTGCTATGCAACTACATCATGATTAACTTAACCATTCTGCTTGTTAGTAAATGTCTAAGATGTTTCCATTTCCCTACTTTTACAAGTAATACTGCCATAAAAATATCATACACATAGTCTGTACAATTTTAATAATATTTTAAACATGGAGTCATATCAGACTGTTACAAACAGAAACACAAACAAATTCATCACCCTCTTTAATCTATAATTCATTTTTATTTGTCAAGAGATGGAGACACAGTATTCTTAGGGCAAAATATTTTATTATTCTGGACAATATTTTAGATAGTTACAATTATTTAGTTAGTTAAAAGCAAGGAGCTCAGATGTCTTTGTAATTGATACTATGAGAGGTACTACATGATAGAGGCAGAATTAGATTAATGCAAACTCTGTTGCTTTTAGAGCAAATGTGGTTTAGCTAAGGAAATGTTGAGAATGTCCAGGGAAGAGGAGGTGTTTTTCGTGTCCATTAGGACTTTGGAAATAAGTTCTTAGTAATGCAAATGAGGAAAAGGTGAGGGTAGCTAATACAACAGTACCAATAAGAAATGTTGTTTATTTTGGGTGGAAGTATTCCATGGGTCAAATGACAAAATATAGTCTATGCCTGGGAAGAGCCCATTTTTTTCTTTGTATAAACTATAAAGTGCATGTAACAAACTTTAAATGTGCACCTCAGTAAATTTCATCATATAAACAGTGCCTAACTCAAGAAACACAATATCTCCAGGACCCCAGAAACTTCTAATCCATTTCTAGTCACCATTCCCACCACAAGTTTTGTCTCTTTTTGAACTTCATATAATGGAAACAGTATGGTACAGAAGGTACTCTTTTGAATCTGGCCCCTGTTTCTCTACATTATAATTGCAAATTTTATTAGCTAGAAGTTAATCGCTTTTATTACTCACAGTAGTATGTATTTTCTCCTTCTACTGATGGACTTATTGTTTCCACTTTGGGCCTCTTACAAATAGTACTATTGTGGTCTTTTTGCAAATGTTGCTTTGTTGTAGAGAAGTAATTCCGAACTTGTTAGATGTGTCAAGCTTGTGTCTCAAGATGAAAAAGAATGGAGTTGATGACAAAGGAGGTTAAGAGGATAAAGTTCTATTAAGAGAAAGCCCCTGAGAGGCAGGATGGGACCCAAAAGTGGGTTGCTGCTAAGGTTCTTTGTCTAGGGAGTTTTTATGTGGTAAAATCACAGCACAGTTTATCTTGGGTTAACCTTCAACCTATAGGATTACAAGTACAGTTACTTAACTAATGCTGATTTATAGGAAAACAAAGTACAGTGAATACCTATAATCACAGCGCTTAAGAGGCTGAAACAGGAGGATTGTCTAGAGTTTGAGGCCAGCCTGGGTTACATAGTGGGTTCAAGGCCAGCCTAAACTACACAGTAGGACTGTCTCAAAAAACAAAAAAAAAAAAAGACAAGAAAAAGGAAAACAAGGTATGTAGCAAGGGTACCTAGCACATAGAGGAGCAAAGCATTTCTGGAAGGGATGAGAGTGAGGACCAGAGTGTTCTGCTCACCTATCTACATGTTTATTATGTTGTTTGTATGTGTTTGTTATATTGCTTAGGCTTATTGGCCCAAATGGTGCTAGTTACACTGTACCTTTAAGCTGTTATTTATCTCTGAGGAGGCTTGCAGGCCATAGCCATTGTGTCTCAATCTTGGGGCCTAGTTTCCATCAATTCAGCCCTTAACTACGGGCCTGGTTTATCTCATCTCTGTTTTGATTCTATCTTAGGTCTGGTCTTCTTCTTTTTAACTGCCTATTAACTTCTGTCTAATTTAGCTATCGGTATTATATCTTAACTTTCTGTAATATTTCAACCTCTGAAGAGATATCTCCGACTGCCGTTAGGGGAAATGAGTGAAGTCAGTTTAGGATTTCGTTGTTGTTGTTGTTGAAAGGGGCAGCTGTTTTGATTGGCAGTCAGAGACGCTCTCAGGGGCCTGTCTAGAGGCCCTCCACAGACAACAGGTGTGGTGGAAAGCAGGTGGATACCTGAAAACCTAGAAGAAACAAAACCATGAAGGCAGGTAAGGACACAGGATCCAAATAAAAGACTGAGATAACAATCACCATTATTGTCAACAAGAAGTTTTATCAGTCAGAGCCAGTAAAGACCTTATATATAGAGGATATAGACGCGGCTTTTGGGTTGGACATAGCATTAACTTGTTGGAGGTGATGGAGACCCATAGAGACGTTAGACAAAGAGTCAAAATACAAATTTAGCCTTGTATTTTCCTTAAAATGTCTAGAACCTTCCAGTTTTGTAGGGTCCTGTCTCACTAACTGAACTGTTATGGTGTCCTTTAAGGCCCTTTGGGTATAGTTAGTATCTCTATATGGTGCATGACAGCTTTTAGTCCCAGGGAAGGAACAAAGATAGCCAAATGATCATACTGGTGAAATACATTTTGAGATAACTGGTGTGGGAGAGGGGTAAGTCAATATTTTTAACTCATCTGTTTTGTAACTGCGTGTTTTTTAAAGAGCATCTCCCCATCTGTCCTAGCGTTAATGAAAAGATGCCACTGAGGGTACACTATCTAATTTTACCTGCATTGTGACTGGGTGTGTATAATGATCATATGGATTTTGTCTCGTATACTTAATGACATTGGTCCAAGGTGAGTAAAAGTGATTTTTGTGTTCTTAATATAAGGAGACCTTTTGACTAAGGTATCTTGCAATGGGAGTCAAATACACATAGTCATCCCACACGTAGAAGTATCTATCCTGATATCTGTGGCTATTAGGTCTAACAATGGGCCTTGGGACTTTGTACTGAGTTAGAAGGGGCTCTCCTAGTGCCTGTAGTAGGCTTCAGTGGTATTGTTGGGGAAAGCAAATTATGTCATGGACCGTAAAGTGTAAAATGTCTAGGCCATTTTGTCATCTGGTAATGTTGAGCTATTTTATGAGTTAAGGAGGTTTTTTTGTAACAATTTTGTAGTTTGTTTCAATCCTTTCCTAGAGAAGAAGATATCTACCAGGGAAGTCCTGAGGTATTTGACAAGGGAAGTAGGCTGCCATCTCAGCAGGATATTTGCTTATATGACTTTCTATATTTTTATTGAGCCCATATTAAAAAGAAATTCGATTTTACATGTTTTTTGTTGCTGGGTTTTTTTTTTTCCTGAAAAGTTTCACTCTGCACAGAGGAGAGGGGCTCAGTGCTTGCGGCTGCTTTCCCCATGACAGCCAGCATACTGCTCAGCTCCTTGCATTTCCTCTTGGCATGGATGTGCATCCCCAATTTCTTGACAAACTGGAGGGCCTGCCTGTCCTTGGAGGCCTTGAGCAGCTCCATGGTGCACACACCTCCCAGATCACGTCCCCCAGAGGCTTCATGTGCTTGGTGAGGCACCAGCAGCAGCAGCTATACCTTGGTAAACAGCAGCTATACCTCACACTTTCCACCTTGCAGCCAGTGTCAAGGCCCGCGGTCATGGGATAGTGCAGAGGCATGGCTGGTGCTCTTCACTGGCTGCCTGATGCCCCCCATTTTAAAAAATTTTTTACTTTTAACAGAATAAATCCAGTCAAAACAAACCATTGAAAATGAAACAAGAATGCCAAACAGTGAAAATGATGCAAGACTTCAAAACAAGATAATAGGAAATCAACACTGGCTGCCATAATGCCTCTTGTTATCTTCAAAATAGCTGTCCATATCGTCAGACATATTAAAGTCACTGATATTCCCTTTTTAGGCTGTATAAGAATACCTATGAGAAAAGCAAAAAATAATATTTCAGACTATGTCACTAAAGGGGTGACTTATTTTAACAGGAACTTTAAATTTTTTACTGGCTTATAGCGATATTTAGATAGCAGAATCACACTCGGTACTGACACTGGGTCCCACCGGCTCAAGTCAGGTATGAGTTATATTGGAATGGAGATCAGCTACTTTGACAGCTGAGGAAGTTGACATGTGTATGGTCTTTTTCATGTTGGCCCTAGGAAAGGAGATGAAAAGGGAAAGACTTCTCCAAGACATCCAGGGTATAATGTGGGACTTTTTAACTCTTTAGACTGGGCCTTGTTAATTATTGAAGGATCTGTTAGAATTCAGCTAATAAGGTGACTTATTTTAACAAAGCATGCTTTTGTTGTTGTTCTTTTTGATTTTTTTAATGAAAGAAATGATTGTTAGTGAGGAAATAACACCCATAAAGCATTTAAAAACTCATCATCTGAGGTGTATGCCTTTTTTTAATGAAGCTAAGAGAAGCAAGTTAGGCCATTGTAGGTGGGTTTCCTGAGCCATTTTATGAAGGTATCTCTAAAGGGTTCACCTAGTTTTTCAGTTTTTTTGATGACTGAGATCTCTAAGTACAATGAAGATAACAAAGAAAGTCAAGTACCTTGGAAACACCCTGAATAACGGCTTCCTTAAAGGAAGGCCCATTGTTTCTTTGTAGAGTTTAAGAAGAAGAAGCCCAAACCCAGGGACAATTTTTGAGACTGAGACCTTTACCATTTCTTGTGCTC